AGATATTTCTGAGCACAAATTATTGATGATCTGCTGCTCCCTTCTGTTACCACCCTGGCTGTAGCAGTGTGATCTGTAACGGAGCCATGTGACCCTCTAAGCATGACCTGCAGCTAGAGGCCGAATTACATTTAGCCTCTCCGTGCCAGGGAGGTTGTGAATTACAGGGCTAAGATTCCACCGGTAAGCCACGCTAGGCAAAGTCTGGGCAGTGCCCTCAGGAGACAGAACTGAGCACCTTCTAGATCATCCCTGACAGGTGTCAGTCTAACCTGCTCTTAAATATCTCCAAAGATGGAGACGCCACAACCCCTGTAGGCAATTTATTCCAGTGTTTAACCACCCTGACAGGTAGGAAGTTTTTCCTATACCTAAACCTCCCTTGCTGCAGTTTAAGCCCATTGCTTCTTGTCCTAGCCTCAGAGGTTAAGAAGAACAATTTTTCTCCTTCCTCCTTTCAGTGATTATCACGTCCCTTCTTGGTCTTCTCTCTTCCAAATGAAACAAGCCCAGTTCTTTCAGCCTTTCCTCATCGCTCATGTTTTCTAGGCCTTGAATCATCTTTGTGGCTCTTCTCTGGACCTTCCCCAGTTTCTCCACATCTTTCTTGAAATGCGGTGCCCAGAACACAGCACTCCAACTGAGGCCTAATCAGTGCAGAGTAGAGCAGAAGAATGACTTCTCGTGTCTTGCTCACCACACTCCTGTTAATACAACCCAAAATGATGTTGGCTTTTTTTGAAGCAGTGTCACACTGTTGACACATATTTAGCTTGTGGTTCACTGTGAAACATGAATATGACACATATTTAGCTTGTGGTTCACTAGGTTTAGGGGATAAAATGGTGTCCTTGGCCTCTGTTTGTCAGAGGCTGGAGAAGGATGGCAGGAGACAAATCGCTTGATCATTGTCTTCAGTCCACCCTCTCTGGGGCATCTGGTGCTGGCCACTGTCGGCAGACAGGCTACTGGGCTAGATGGACCTTTGGTCTGACCCAGTACGGCCGTTCTTATGTTCTTATGACCCCTAGATCCCTTTCTGCAGTTCTCCTTCCTAGACGGCCTCTTCAAATTTGGTACACGTGCAACTGATAGCTGCTAAATGGAGTTCTCTGCATTTGTCCTTATTGAATTTCATCCTATTTGTTTCAGACCGTTGCTCCAGTTTGCCCAGATCGGTTTGAATTGCATCCTCTCCTTCAAGGCACTTGCAACCCCTCCCAGCTTGGCATCATGAGCAAACTGCAGCAGGGTTCTGGCTATGCCGTTATCTAAATCCCTGATGGAAGAAATGTGGAAGAAACTTAGAGGCAGCACTTCATGCCATTGATTAAAATGTTCTGTCTAATGTGAGGGGGCTGCCTCGATTCTTTTTTGGTGCATGCCCATCTTAATCCGGTTTGCATGATCGTGCAGTCCTGGTGCAGAGTTTCGATGGGAATTTGGGCAGGTGGATGTCATGTGATGGGTCTGTTCCCGCTGGATTCCAGATCAAAACTATGGAATAACCAGTGGAGAGACTTCCCTCCGCTGTCAGAGACCTCGCCCCTTGTTTCATGCCTAGGGCAGTTTCTTCTCTGAAGGCATGTTGGGAATTCGGCATGTGCTAAACCCATCCCATGCCGACTTACTCATCAACTTGCTCAGTGGTCTGGATAGTCAAGTACCCAACAAGCATGACAGGGGAATGGCCAGGAATAAAAAATCAGCAGCTTTTGGAGACGGGCTATCTATGCCCACCATGACGTGGGAGAGGAGTGAAAGGAAGCAAGCCCTCAGCCCCGCCTCCAACCCCGCCCCTTCTGCACAGGCCCCGCCCCTCCAGCACCAAGAGGAGGGAGGCGGCACGCAGCCCCAGTCTCCTGGCCCTGGAGTATGAGGAGGGCGGGTGCTGGGGGTTGAGTGCTGCAGTAGGTGCTCTGCGGGCAGGGCCACCCCTGGCAGTTTGGAGAGGCAATGCCTTCCCCTGCCTATGAGACCCGCCGCTCCTGTTGGACGAGCAATCTTCCCCACTCCTCTGCAACCAACACAGGTGCCTCTCCCCTTCCCCCTGTGGTGGGAGGAAACGCCTCTCTCCCCCACAGCCCCGAGGTGGGGCAGAGCTGGCTGTCCCTCTCTCCCGCTGTGGCCACAAAGATGGCGGCCGCTCGCCCACCCCCAGCAGCTGGAGGAGCTGTGGTCTCTCCCCTCAGCCTGAGGCCAGGAAACTTGGCCTCCTCTCCACAGCCCCAGAGGAGTCCTATGTCCCTACTGATTGGGGGCAGAGGCTGCAACTCTTCTTGCCCCCTGCATACGCCCTTATCAGAGTCATGGGCTTTGCCCCAAGGAGTCCTCACTGGCATTTTAAAGCAGCTCTGGGGGGCACGTATCACCACACGCCTCCAACCTCAGCATATCACCACATGCCTCCAGGAGCCGGGGCTTTCAGACATGCCCCCTCCACATGCTATGCTGAGACTGGCTGTAAAATGGTTCAAGCGGGCAGCAGCATGCTCAATGAAGCCATAGCACTGGGCCTCAGTTCATTGCTGTAAGATGGCCTCCATCGCTGGGCTGCACAGCCTCACGAGGGAGACCCACCCAGAAAGCTTTGCGCTGCCTGAGGGTGATGTTTGTGTAACCGCCACCAAGCAGATTTGAACCTGGGACCTTGGGAGCTAAGTATAGAAGCTTCTACCCGCTGAGCTAAAAGCCTGCTAATTCTCAGCCCACCCTGTAGAGGTCTCTTGGTCTTATCTCTTGCTGTGGTCTAAGTGCCATGCCATGGGACAGTGAACCCCACTAGGGACATGTCTACACTACAGAGTTTTGTCGGAAAAACAGCCGTTTTTCCGACAAAACTTGAGGAACATTCACACTGCAATTGCGTTCTTCCGCAAGAAAATCAAAAGAACAGAGGGGTTTTTCTGGCATTGGTAATCCTCATTCTACGAGGAAGAAGCCTTTTTGCGAGAAGCCACACAAAAGGCGTGTGTGGATGGGGAAGAGGGAGTTCTTTCGGAAGAAGAGGAAAGAGGAAAAAGCACAGGGGCCCTGGTGGCCATTCTGTCCATTGCAATCACAACTGAAATGCGAGAGAGCGTCCATTCAGTCTGGACGCTCTCTTTCGAAAAAGCAGATTGTTTTTTGATGCACTTAGCCTAGGTGTGTGGGTTACATGCTTCCCCTAAGAGAGGGAGCACGCCCTGAGCTTTGAAGACCCAGTTAAGATCTCCCCACTTGTAATCGCCACTGGATGGATTTAAACCTGAGATCTCTTAGCATAGGAGCCGCTACCCTCTGAGCTGAAAGGTCTCTTGTTATCTGTTGCTGTGCTCTAAGTGCCACTGCATGGGACAGTGAACCACACTAAGGGTACGTCTAAACTACATGGCTCTGTTGACGGAGCCATGTAGATTTGTTTGTTCGGCAAAGAGAAATGAAGCCGCGATTTAAATAATCGCGGCTTCATTTAAATTTAAATGGCTGCCGCGCTGAGGCGACAAACAGCTAATCAGCTGTTTGTCGACTCAGCGTGCAAGTCTGGACGCTCCCGCGCCAACATGAAAGCCCTTTATCGACCTCCCCGGTAAACGTCATCCCACGAGGCATAATGAGGCAGTTGACAAAGGCTTTTGATGTCGACCACCAAGCGTCCAGACTACCACAGTGTGCCGACAAACAGCTGATCGGCTCAGCGTGGCAGCCATTTTGATTTAAATGAAGTGGCGATTATTTAAATTGCCACTTCATTTTGCTATGTCTACACAGCTCATCTACATGGCTCCGTCGACGGCACTCTTCCCCCAACTTCCCTAACTCCTTGCACAATGAGGGTTACAGGAATTGGATTAAGCAGTCCTCCAGCTTAACATTATTTCAACATTATGTCAAATTTGCCTGGCATTAACCGCTCTCCTCCCTCCTCCAGGCCACCACCGAACCCCCGAAAAAGAAACCGGACCCTGTCACGTCAGAGACCGTGGTGTTCTGGGGGCTACGCCTCTGGCAGGTGATTGGAATCTTTGCCATCTTTGTCCTGGGAGTCAGTAAGTCACCGTTCTCTGCCCTCCACCCCTGTACCTGGGACCCCTCCCGCTCCCTGCACAGCCAAGAGCAGCGCTGCAGGGGGTCCCCTTCTTCTTGGGACTTTGCAGTGTCAGCTCGCAACAGGTGCTTGGGCTGTATATTTCACAGGCGCTATTTCACAAGGCATTAGGTGTTCACTGTGTGCCATGCCAGTCGTCAGCCGGCCGGAGAACCACGGTCCCTCTGGCCTTATGGATCTATGAATTTCAGAGGGGTAGTCGGGTGACTGTACTGTACCTTGGAAAAAAGCTTTAAAAAACAACGAATAGTCCTGCAGCACCGTAGAGACTAACCAAGCATGTCGATGGGGTCGTGCGCTTGCTTGGGCACCACCCACTTCTTCAGTTGGCAGAGAGCGTTCAAAGTGCTCGTGCGTGCCTGGTGTTTGTCCTTTTAGTCATTGGGAGGTGGAACACATGAATTTCAGTGGGATCTGGGCACTTCCCTTCTTCCGGCGGCTTTGGGAATGTCACTTCTGAGTGCCCGGTTCTTCACACGCAGCATAACTTGTCTTCTGTGAGGAAGAGTGAACAGGGAGCTAAGCTGCTGGATACAGATCAGCGACAGGCAGATGTCAGTGGTTCAGGAGGCAGATTAGAGATCAGGGATCCTCAAAAGAGCCATAGTAGTATGAACTCATTGTTTCACTTACTACAGTACTATACATCCAGTCTAAGGGTACGTCTAGACTACATGGTTCCGTCGATGGAGCCATGTAGATTTGTTCAGCAAAGGGAAATGAAGCCGCGATTTAAATAATCGCGGCTTCATTTAAATTTAAATGGCTGCCCCGCTCTGCCGATCAAAGTAGGAATAAGATCCTCCGGAAAAGGGCGCTTTTTCTGGAGGATCGGGGCCAGTGTAGACGCTCTTTTCCGGCTTTTCTAAAAGCCGGAAAAAAGCGGCGGACATTTTTATTTAAATGCCGCGGGGGATATTTAAATCCCCCGCGGATTTCCCTATTGCGATCTCTGAAATTAACATGCCCCTTCCAGAAAAGGGGCCAGTGTAGACGTAGCCAAAATGAATTGAATTACGGACCTGAGCAACTTCAGATCAATCTTCTAGGAACGCTATAAAACAGCGGTTCCCAACTGTTCTGCGGCCCGGCAAACCCAGTCGCAAACTTCTAGTGGCCCGGTAACATTGTATTTGCGTATTTGCAAATAAAATGTTACCTGTCCACCAAATTATGTACCCAGCCCTCTCAGCCACCACGCAGCAGCCAGCTTCAGCGCTGCTTCAGACTGGTAGTTGGGAATGACTGCTATAAAATATTCAACCTCTTACTGGCATTTGTTAACCCATATAAGAAGGCTTCTGGTTCTTCAGAGGAAAAGGCTTTGCCCTCTTTAAAATAAAAATCGGATATTTTATCTTCTCCACACCCCACAGGCATAAAACCATAGTGACGCACACAAAATACTCTTTGGCTGCGTCTAGACTGGCAAGTTTTTCCGCAAAAGCAAATGCTTTTGCGGAAAAACTTGCCAGCTGTCTACACTGCTCGCTTTGAATTTGCGCAAGAACACTGACGATCTCATGTAAGATTGTAAGTGTTCCTCCGCAAAGACAATGACTCTCCCGTTCGGGAAAAAGCCCTCTTGCGCAAATGCTTTTGCACAAGAGGGCCAGTGTAGAGCACTGAGAACCGTTTTGTGCAAAAAAGCCCCGATGGTGAAAATGGCGATCAGGGCTTTCTTGTGCAAAACCGCGTCTAGATTGGCACGGACGCTTTTCCTCAAAAAGTGCTTTTGCGCAAAAGCGTCCGTGCCAATCTAGACGCTCTGTTCCACAAATGCTTTTAATGGAAAAACTTTTCCGTTAAAAGCATTTGCGGAACATCATGCCAGTCTAGACGCAGCCATTTTGTTGCTCTCTATGGAGGCCGAAGTCTTACATAAAAGCAAGAGAGCAATATTCCTTTGACTACTTGGTCCAGTTTTCTATAGGACTAACCCTGTCAAAAAGAAAAGAGAAGATGCAGGGGGAGGATGAACAGGGGTACCTAGGACAATTATTTGTTTTAAAGCCATATCTTGGTATTTCTTTAGGAACCCCCTTCTATTTTTTCAGGAAGAAGTGTAGTGAATAACACGAGGGCTATGGCTACACGATGGGTTTTCTCAGCAAAAAATATGCTAATGAGGGACTCCTTTGCATGAGTTGCCATTTCATTTGCATATTTTCTGCAGATCCGTTTTTGCGCTGGGGTTTATGCGCAAAAAATATTCATCCTCTTACCAGCATTTGTTAACCTATCTAAGGAGGCTTTCAGTTCTTCAGAGGAAAAAGCATTGCCCTCTTTAAAATAGAAATCGATTATTGGGGCTGGGGTTTTTGCGCTGGGATTTTCGTACAAAAACAAGCAGTGTGGACGTTTTCTTTTTGTGCAAAACCCCCTTTTTCTGCACGATCCTTGTGCCTCAAAAAAGGAGGTGTACCGATCTTGCGGGAAAAGGGATTGTTGCGCAAAAAGGAAACATCCACACTGCTTGTTTTTGTTCAAAAACCCCAGCGCGAAAACAGATCTGCAGAAAATATGCAAATGAGATCATGACTCATGCAAATGAGGCCCTGGAGGTTTTTCGCCTTCCTCTGTAGCATGGGGCACAGATCACAGCTGGAGGATTCTCTGCATCTTGGGGTCTTCAAAGTATTTGAAGGCTTCAATATCGGAGATATAGGTGAGAGGATTATTCTAGGAGGGGTGGGTGAGATTCTGTGGCCTGCACTGTGCAGGGGGTCAGACTAGATGATCATAATGGTCCCTACTGACCTTAAAGTCTATGAGTCTAAATGAGTCCCTCCTTAGTATCTTTTTTGCCACGAAAACTCATTGTGTAGATGTAGCCTAGAAGTTATTTCTCATTGTATTTATTTACGTCTTTTACTAAATCCAGGGTTTTGAGGGACGAGGGAGCTATGGATGTAAAGGGACTGTGCCTGGTTCATTTACAGCAGGGCGGACAGTGTCTATTTTATCTTCTCCTTGCATTTGGACCCTGGCATAAAGGTACATGGGTCCCATTCTCTCTTGCACCCATGCTGTTAGTGTAAGCTATGCACCTACTGGGGGTGGTGTGCTGTCCCATGTAGTGTGATAGCTTTGGTAGGATCTGAGGGCCACCCCATGCTCTTTGGGTCTTGGTTTTGCTCCAGAGGGCTCACTGTTTTCATCCAAGAAGACAATTCAGGGAATGTTTCTGATTCCTTAGCTCAGGGGTGAGGAACTATGGTTCTTGGGCCGGCCAGGATCCAGCCCCTGGCTTGCTTTGATCTGTCCCATGGACAGGGTCTGATTCACAAAGGGGCAATAAGGCTGCAGCCCCTAAAGCCCCTGTTTTCCGGGCTAGTCCTTCCTGGAATTGTGCAGAAAAGCACCTGGGGATTGCATGGACTAGAAGCTGGATATGAGCCAACAGGGTGACCTTGTAGCCAGGAAGGCTAATGGCACATTGGGGAGCATTAGTTGTTCTTGCTCTGCCTTTTGTCCAATTTGCATTAGGAAGAGTGTTGCCAGTAGATCTAGGGAAGTGATTATTCCTCTTTATTCGGCACTGGGGAGGCCGCATCTAGAGTACTGCGTCCCGATCTGGGGCCCCCTCTATAAAAAGGATGTGGACGCATTGAAGAGGATCCAGCAGAGGGCAATGGAAATGATGAGGGGGCTGGAGCACATGACTTATCAGGCGAGGCTGAGAGATTTTGGGCTTCTTTAGTTTGCAGGAGAGAAGAGTGAGGGGGGATTTGAGAGCAGCCTGCAACTTCCTGAAGGGGGGTTCCAAAGAGGCTGGCGAGAGGCTGTTCTCAGTCGTGATAGATAACAGAACAAGGAGCAATGGTCTCAAGTTGCAGTGGGGGACGTCTAGATTGGATATTGGGAAATTCTCTTTCAGTAGGAGGGTGTGGAAGCACTGGGATGGGTTCCCTAGGGAAGGGGAGGAATCTCCATCCCTAGAATTTTTTAAGTTTTGGCTTGACAAAGCCCCGGCTGGGATGCTTGAGTTGGGTTGGTCCTGCTTTGGGCAGGGGGCTGGACTCGATGCCTCCTGAGGTCTCCTCCAGCTCTAGGATTCTCTGATTCTCTGTGTTGGTTTCTAGCCTGTGTTCTTCACAGTGACCAGGAGGTGGCAGACGTATATTACAAATGTATTTCAGAGGAGGAAAGTGAGGAGAGGGATTCCAACAACACAGCTGGGTTAAATTCCCATGGGTAATGAAGAACATTTCACATCCCTGTCTCTCAGGCCCACCCAAACCATCAATTTCTATGGTCATCAAGGCTCATAGACTTTAAGGTCAGAAGGGACCATTATGATCATCTAGTTTGACCCCCTGCACAGTGCAGGCCACAGAATCTCACCCACCCCCTCCTAGAATAATTCTCTCACCTATATCTCAGATATTGAAGCCTTCAAATACTTTGAAGACCCCAAGATGCAGAGAATCCTCTAGCTGTGATCTGTGCCCCATGCTACAGAGGAAGGTGAAAAACCTCCAGGGTCTCTGCCAATCTACTCTGGAGGAAAATTCCTTCCCGACCTCAAATATGGTGATCAGCTAAACCCTGAGCATGTGGGCAAGACTCACCAGCAGACACCCAGAAAGTTCTTTATAGTAACTCCTATCATCCCTCCATTGACCTATTTCCTAAGGCTATTAACCTATTTCCTATTGACCTAAGGCTATCAAGAGTCACGCTCCTTCATAATACAATTTTGGGAGGACTCCTAAATGTTTCAGTCAAGTTCTAACTACTCCACAGCAAGCTGAGTGCTAATGGGAGATGCAGTGTTGATGTAACTATACAGGTCCCAGGATACTAGAAACACAAGGGGGTGAGGCAATATCTTGGGGAGAGCGAAATGAAATCTAGGGGGTCACCAAATGAAATGAAGTGGCAGCAGGTTTAAAACAAACAAAAGGAAGATTGTCTTCACTCAGCGCACAGTCAACC